TATCTGTGCTTTAACATTTTAATATTTTAGAATATTTAGATATATGTATTTGCTAAAGTATTATGCAATGGAAAGGAGTTCTTATGGTTTAATTATACATACTCAAAAATATAAGTTTGTTAAAGGATCGTATATTTTATCAACTTAATAAAATGAGTTGCCGTTCTGACTGGCAGAAATTTTAAGTCTGGAAAAAACACACACAAAAACTTAATTCTTAATTACGCACTATGTATGTGAATACGATATACATACATATGTATGCCCAATAAAAATATGAATTGGAGAATCTACCACATCTTGTTTAAATCTACCTAATTTTTTTGCCGATTCTACCACACTAAAAAAAAAAGAGTTTGCAATAATGTGTGAGTATATAGGTGTGAAAAGCGTACAGTTGAGCAGTACACGTGATATGCAGTGCTGCCATTTTAGTGATATTCCCCCTAGACCTAGCGACTTTATTTTATACTTAGCGGTAAAATTTAGAATTCGGTGACAAGCGGGATTTTTAATGTTTATTTAGGAGCTCTTAGCTAGTTTTTGGCGATTTTATTCATAATGATCGCAACTCTTTACATTTACATTTTGCACTGTAAATCGATGAGACTGAAACGCTTTACATTGAAAAGTTTTACATTGACTACATTTTACAAGCTCCAACAAGCTCAACAATCACGAAAACGAAGCCGACATTCTTATGGCCAATTTTTAATCCTTTGGATTTATCGAAATCAAAGCTACTAATAAGGGTATATTTAGTGCTATAAAATCCCAATGCTGGTTATACAAGCATATAGCGCTGTTCCGTTTGTTTTTGTTAAAGAATGAATTTGTTTATCTTGTTTTTGATGAACAATTTATTGTTTTTTTTTTTGATAAACATTTCATCTCTCATTTTATCAAATAACATTGAACTGTTACTATTTTTTCGTAAGAGTTTAGAGAATTGAAATGATTCAGCGGGATTCCAGCGATTTTTGTTTATAAATCTGGCGGGAGGGCAAACAAATAAATGGCAACCCTGGTGATGTGAAATTCCCTTTACTAGAATATAGTTAAAAAGAAGTATGTAGTATCTTTGTCATTATAATCGTTTGTGTTATTCCACGGCCTAGCTATAGACCGGATAAAGCGGGTTCATTACAGCTTAAATATTTATTAACATTAACACCCCTATTCTGCAACTCTTTCGTATTCGGATTTTGCTACGAATCGAAATGGTATGCTGCAATCCGAATCGTATTTTCGAACTTACGAAATTCGAAAGAATGGCATGCCTAAAAACAAGCGAGTAAGAAATTTACAGCTTTTTTGCGTAATTTTGTACGAAAACATTTCTGTGTCGGAAGCGAGATAAAAATTAAGCAAAAATATGTAAGTCGCTGTGTGTTTGGAGGAAATATTAGTGGTGCTCTTTAAAACAGATAAATTTGCCTTTCGCATTTATGTTCGCATATTTTTATGCACTGCTTTATACATATGAACGAACAAAAAGAATGTTTGTTGCCCCTTATCGAGAAACTTGGGTATGGTTTAGTTATTTGTCCAATGATTTTGGGTGACTGTGTCCAAACGCATGACCCGAATCTAAAAGCTTTAACATAGATACACATGTAGTCAAAGGATTAAACTTTAAATTAAAGTAAGGGTTTCAAACTTCCGAGCACTTCGTAATTATTAAATTTGGTTTGAGCTGTGCACTTTTTTGTAAATTTCAATGTGATTCTGCGCAAAAATACTTTGGAAGGCGTAGCTGGAGTTATGTATATGCACAAGCATGGGCGTAGCCAGGTAGGGGCAGGGGGGCCCGGGCCCCCTAACCCCCAAATTTTTGCCTAGATATTCAAAAATAGTACCACTAAATGCTTGCTTGATAATTTCGGCCCCCTAACTTTCAAGGTTTTTCCTAAATATATACTGTATAACAAATTATACTCCCAACGCTAACAAAATAATTAGTAAATTGATTTAAAAAGTGGATATGTGGATCATCCGGTTCTGTATCAAGTTATTCTCTCTAACTTCAAAGCACTTCCATTTAAAAATGGTAAAAACCTGGCTGCAGTCGACAATGAGGAAAAATAGTTCAATTGTTTTTTACTTTTTCTTTAGGTTTGTGTCTTTTCTAGGCGTACACCGAAAGTTTTGTATCACCGAACCAATCTGAGATTATTGATAAAACTATAGACCGGTTGGGTGAACAGCCAAGACGTTTACTTGTTAAGTGTGACAAAACAAAATCAGGTAATACATATATTTAGCATAAATGAATATACCAGCATAAAAAATCTGCATACTCAAAATATTCAATACGTCCCCACATTGCTATTTGGTTTACTATACAGGTATGTAGNTGAGATTATTGATAAAACTATAGACCGGTTGGGTGAACAGCCAAGACGTTTACTTGTTAAGTGTGACAAAACAAAATCAGNCACTCTTCGACCCTTTTTAATGGCAGATGCACTGAAAGAAGTGGAGAAGACAACCCGAGGTCCCAGTCGATGACGATGGAGTCGATATCCCAGCGCCTGACTATGACGAAAAGTGCCAAGGCTGCTTGAGCTGAATGCCTGTCAGCTGATNCTATACAGGTATGTAGAGCTATGAATTTAAAAAATACATCAGGGTTTAGTTGAGATATTCGCTTTTGACCACTATGTTTTGGACATTTCCCAGTACTGCAAAGCTTTTGACTGCCATTCAACTGGGAGTGACCCGCATGGGCTGTGTTTGGGTCCCGCCACGTTAAACCCCTGCCCAATGAAAAACAACACATGCCTCGGATGATACCCCTTTCTTTTGATGANACTCACCACCTATTTGTCGACTTTAAAGCCGCTTTCGACAGCACTAAAAGGAGTTTCGTTGAGCAATACTACCAGCTTTGCTCTGTTGCCGTTCGTCCCCAGACGGGGTTTCAGACAGGGCTATNACCCCTTTCTTTTGATGACGATCACGGCAAACAAAGGAAGGACTCTGATTTTAGGGTATGCACTTGGAATATCCGGACCCTTAATCAGGATGGTGCCTCTGCCCGGCTGGTTGATGTCCTAGGCAAAATAAAGGCTGACAACCCCGCCATCCACGAAATGCGATGGACGGGGCGAGGAAGGTAAGCGTGGAGCCTTGAGACGTCTACTACANCAAACAAACAGTCAGCACATTCGCGCCTTGGCACCGACGTCACTGTTGACAGTTACAATTTCGAGAAAGTAGAGAATTTCGTTTACTTGGGAACCAGCATTAACACCGATAATAATGTCAGCATGGAAATCCAACGCAAAATCGCTCTGCCAACAAGTACTGCTTTGGACTGAGTAGGACATTCAGAAGTAAAGTCCTCTCTCNTAGCGGACGAAAGTCTAGCCACAATCCGCATCAAAGCGAGATTCTTCAACTTCTCATTCATATGTGCCAATGCCCCGATGGAAGGGAGGAACGAGGCATCCAAGGCTCTGGGCTNCTCGACGTACGAAAACAACACTATAAGTCACTCATCATGCCCGTGCTGGTATGTGGCGAATTAAAATACAGCGGCTCAACTGGCTTGACCATGTCGTTCGAATGGACACCAACGCCCCACCTCTGAAAGTATTCTGGCTTCACTTGGCATTTCCAACTGGCGTCAGTTGGCCAAAATCACATTGGCGGTTACAGCGCCAAATAAGAAGAAGAAGAAGAGAATATATCTATAACCTTATCAGTCACACAGAGTTATAACCCCAACGAAATCCTTGACGGTGGTACCGGGAGGGGAACGGTACATGACGGTAGGAAGTTTAGTTTGGGTTAAAGACTCACACTGATGGGTTTAGCCTTTCGATGCTTCCTCCTCGTAAAATAAACATGCTCAGTAAAAAGCTAACAATTTAAATCGACGAATAGTTTTATATCAACTTTTGTGAACATCTGTTTATTTATTTTTTGAACAACATATTTACCTCTATCGGTTACAATAATTTTAAGCTATAATAAACAATTTTTTAGTAAGTAAGTTATTGGTTTCGATTTTGCTTTTGTATGCCCCCCCTTAAATTTCGTTCTGGCTACGCCCATGTGCACAAGAAACGTTGTATACCTTCCGCCCCTCTTCTCCGGCAACATAGAGCGGTGAATTCTACTTATTAAGGATTATAATCCCTAAGCGTGGCCGAAGGCGGAAGCAAGCGCAACTGGTGGTGAACCTAACAAAATAGCTTGGAAGATGCTGTTTTTGAATTAACTGGGTTGAGAATCAGTTCTTCAGGTATAAGAGGAGTTACGGCTTGTGGTTCAGCAATTCAACCAGAAGCTGACATACATAGATGCGTCCATGGCAACTATGCCCGACAGCTCCGCATAGCTTTGTGAATTAATTTCCATATCGCGATCTTACTACGCTGCTATAGTTACAAATGCAGTAGAATCCATTGTTTTCTGCAAAAAAATTTAAAAATAAACAATTTTACTATAAATAAGCACTTGATGAGTGCTGTTTTGATTCCTTTCCACTTTGTTTTCCTTCATACAGCTGACTTCGAAAAACAATTGATAGCTGAAAATGGTGCACATTTTTCTGCAAGGGTTGCAGCATGCCGATTTTTTATTTTTCGTAGCGGAGCTACGAATTATGAAGTACGAAAATTCGAGATCTAGAATATGGGGTAAATTCTGATATTTAAAGTTAGGTATGTATTTAATATTATAAATGGTAAAAACTTTGGTGTCAAAAAAGTGTTGAAAAATATACTCATAAAATTTAAACATCTCAGCCATTTCAGGACACTCAGAGTACAACTCCACAACAAGATTTTCAGGCGTTGAGCACTTTTCAGGCTTTCAGCAATAGCTGAATTGTGTAGCTGAAAGCCTGAAAAGCGCCAATCGCTTGAAAAGCTTTTTGTGGAGTTGTACTCTTTGTACTTTTGAGTCACTTTCTCATTTTCATGCTAGGATTTAGATCGCCAAAATCCTAGCCATGGTAGTGTGTTCTTACACTGCAAAACTTTACTTACCCAATATGATGGCCAAACATACGAAGATAGCACCTAGCGCGCCCATACTAAGCTTGAGCCGTTGACTTTCTTGCACCAACTCGCAGTTTTCACCCCAATAGCCTTCCGGACAGATGCAGCGATAACGCAGGCGAGGCTCGAGATTAATACACGTAGCTCCATTTAAGCAAGGTAGATCGAGACATTCGTTGCGATCCACACATCCTTTTGTATCGGCGGACATGATGCGGCCCTCGCTGCACCTACATATATAAAGGAGAAGAAAACGGTAAGTTTTTTAAATTCTTTGGCACAACATTTGCAGATAAAAAGCTAACGAATTTAGTTCAATATATTTGGATGAGGTTTCTTTCACGTTTTTCAATTAGAACATAGTAACAAGTAACGAAAAAAATAGTACACAAAATTTATTCGGTCAGAAGATAAGAAATATTAGTGACCCCCCATGGCGTTAAAACGCCAAAATTTAACTAACCTTTTTACAAAGGTGAAGCCCTATCTAAAAACTTCAAAAAATATTCCTAATGATTCATCTAAACCATTTCTGAGTGATGAGAGGTCTCGCAAGGTGTCGGTTTTCAATGCATCAAATTTCAAATCACTCTGTACCGCTAAAAAGGTTCTCACTTCAAAAAATAAAATTTATGCGCATGTATGTAAAATCCCAGTTCTTTAATTTGGCTAATTAAAAATATTATCAGCCTAAAGTTTTCCAAAAACTCTATCGCTTGACATTAATATTTCAATATTTCATTTAGCTCGTGTATAAGTAAAACAAATTCGACTTTAAAATAGGTAGCAACCCCTTTAAAATTATTTTGAAACTAAAATCTTTTTAAGTTGAATTTGATTTTTTCAACACATGGCAACTCTTCTAAATACAGTTAAGAAATTAATTAATCCATTTGACTTACTAAATTATTTGAATTGCATTTTTTCAACAGGTGGCAACCCTCTTCTGACACCCTAAAAAATTCTAAATGTTCAAACTAAATATTTTTTAACGCTCGTTCGTTTGATACCCATATTTTAAAATTGCATGTACATAAATTGTGTATAATTAGCTAAACTCCACTTTCAAAACAGGCGGCAACCCTCCTCAAAATTATTTTCAAACTAAAATCTTCTTAAATATCTTTCGTCTGACATTGTTATACATTTTTCAAGTAACTGATGCATTAAGTTGAATTCTATTTTTTAATTTTGTGGCAACCCTCCTAAATATAGTTTAAAAAATAAAGGATTCTTAACCTATTTCAATTAATAACCATGTTTTAAGAATTCATTTAACTTATTAAATAATTTGAATTTAACCTTTTAAACTGGTGACAACCCTCAAACACATCAAAAATATTCTGCAGATTTCTCAAAACTTTCATATGACACCCATTTGGGTATAAAATAATTTCATTCGACTTCTCAAATAGGCGGCAACCCTCTTTAAAATACTTTCAAACTACTACCTTCTCAAAACTCTTTTTTCTGACACCCATATGCTGATACCTTATTCGGTTACCTAATTCCTTAAACTGAAATCGAATATTTTTTAAACATGTGGCAACCCTCCTACACGTAGTTAAGACATAAAGCCCTTTAAAGCAATATCTATTGTAAAAATCAATTTATTTTTTTAAATAATTTGAGCTTAATTTCTTAACAGGTGGCAACTCTTTACGGAAAAGTAGCAGCCTCAGTCTCAACCCTCTTTAAAATACTTTCAAACTACTACCTTCTCAAAACTCTTTTTTCTGACACCCGTATGCTGATACCTTATTCGGTTACCTAATTCCTTAAACTGAAATCGAATATTTTTTAAACAGGTGGCAACTCTTTACGGAAAAGTAGCAGCCTCAGTCCCTTCATTTAACACCCCACTTTTGAAAATCGAACGAATGGTGCGGATCTAAGGACATTGATTATTAAATAGTTTGTGTGTAATTATTTAACAGGTGGTAACTCTTTTAGAAAAAGTAAAAAGTTATTGCACATCTACATCCGAAGCTCTTTAATTTGACATCTCACTTTTGAAAATCGTACGAACGGTGCAGATCTGATGACCTGGACAAAAAATCCTTTCGCGTATTCTATATGTAGATAACTTATTTCTCGACAAATCAACTGTCTTAAACCCAATTATTAGAAACATCGCCTGCAAGAAATCAAAAAATGCAATTTTGGAAAAAGTAGGCGGATCGGAAAGTGAAAAAGTGAAGTTGTAAAAAGGTGCCAAATTCAAATCTTATTAGCTATTTAAAGGGAGATGGAAGGCAAAGTAAAAAATTTCGAAAAGGTGCATCTAACGGGTGATGACAAAAAAATTAGACTTTTGTTAAACTACTTTAACTTAACCTTTTTTTGACGTGAGCGACACACCCCAAATGAAAACTTGCTTTTAAAACACACAGCTAAAGCTTTTTTTATATTTTGTTTGAAGTGTTTAGATAAAATAAAATTAAAATGAAATGTCTTATTGAATTTTTTAAAGGTACCTGATAGTATAATTGCATGGTTAGCTTTTATTGACATAAAGAAAATGTTTATCAAAACTAGGCTTTGCACTCCAAAAAAAATATATATATGTTGAAAAACTAAGTTAGATTTCTGAAAAGACCTAAGACTAAAAACAATATAATAAGAGATCATAAAAATAATCAATTCATAAAAAACAATGAGCGAACTTAGCTTAGCTAAAAACTTCAAAATGTAAGAAAATTATTCATTTCATTTAATCTCCTTCCACGCATTGCCAGGAAATCATAGCCCTATGTTCCTCACACAAGGGTAAGTGGCAGCTTGCGCAGACCTTGGACGTCTCTCGGTCCTTTTTCCTGTCGCAAAACTCACATCGAGCAGGTTTTGGAAGCCTTGAGTTAGGTGAAGCTCGAATGTCCTGGATTGATAATATTTGTTGTATTTGAATCCGAAGGCTCCTTCGAAGAGATTTAGAATGCTGACGGTCTTTTGAAAATGGCTCGATAAGGCTGAATGTTTAAAAATTCCCTTCTCTTAATTTTCGCTCCCGTTTTATAAGGGAATAAAGCACCCTTGCATTGTACAAAGGTCCGCAAAGGAGTAAAAGCACTCAAGAAAACTCAATCAATATTTTACTAAGTTTGACGGAATAAAACTTATATGGCATTGAAAATGAACTTACGTATGTAAAAAATAATTGATTTTATTTCAGATATGTTGGAATGAATATTTTATATCTTATTAAGTATCTTTAGTTAAGATTCGCATTAAAAACTTTAAATTTTCTCCATGAGAAGAGAATTATAGAAAGAAATTTTCAAAAATTTCAGATACAAATAAAATATGAAATACAAGTGACCCGTTTTAATAAACCTTCAAACAAAGTTAAATCGTGACGTCTGACCAATTCGGATGTGTTACAGCCAGCTCTTTTTTCAATCGTTTGCTTTTGTGAAAGATACCCAACACAAACAAAGTAAAACAACGAATAACATCACATACATATTAACATCCTCCATAACAAAAACTTTACATACTCGTACCACAAACTCACAAAACAAAAGCAAAAAATAGACACAACTCTTATTTGGGCACAGTGGAATAGTGAAGTGTAATCCAAGCAACAAAAATCGAAGAAGAACCGCCTGATATTGCCAAACAAAAACCTTCTTGTTCACTGTTTTTGCAAACAATAATACGAAAGAACTTAAAAATAAATCGCCGGGCCCAAAGTACTTGTTAGTCCAAAGAGTTAATAGTCAAGAAACTCTCAGTTGGGTCTCTCCCTTCCTAATTAAAAAAAATCATCGACTGTGTTAGCGGTGAAGTTGGTATGTGCTAAAAAATAAGAAACGAACACCAAACAAGCCGTCCAACTCTTAAAACTAAGCACCCTTAACACTAAACTATAGCAAAGTTGTCATTTACAACAGCGACGTAAGAGGAATAACGGAAGAATCTTAAGCGAACTCAAAACACAAAACATCACTGAAGTAAAAAAAAAATACTCAAAAAGCAAAATGAGAATCTAGTCGAGACTGGACTCATCATTTTAACATTTTCTTCTCTCACCCTACCGGATAAAATCTCTATCGGTTACGAAATAACAAATGTTGGACCCTACATCCCCTTGCCATTAAGATGCAAAAAATGCCTGCGCTTTGGTCACCTTACTAAATTTTTTAAAGGTAACCAACTCTGTGCAAGCTGTGGAAATATCAGTCACATAAACGTAATTTTAAATGAAACTAGCCAATGCCCGCTTACTTCGCGGCGCCTAATAAGAGCTTTTGCGTTGGCCAATGCAAAAGAGCGTTTAAAAACAAAATTAGTCTGTAAAGTCAAAATTTTTTATTTAAGTTGAAACCACTAAGGCGCAGTATCCTCCTCATACATAGGCCAATAATAGTCATGCTGTGATACCATATGGAATACCAATCCCTTTCGGTGTCATGAGCTTTACCGATGGTCTTATTTCCACCTGTGAGATCTCTGGCATGCGTAATCTTTTTGTAAGATCTTGCAACTACAACATTGGTGCGATGCGTATGCCAATAAAAGTTCTTATAGGGAAACTCAAGAGCACAGAAGTGCGTTTTCTGTTATAGGAGGGCCAAGAATCCTCGCTGTCCCACAGGATGAAAAGTTTTCCGGTACATTGCTAAATGAGTCGTGTGATCTCTTAAGTATCTTTCAAATGAAGCAATTGATATACCTACGGTGATCTTTCCTTGTTAATTCACCACTTTTACAATTCGTGGTAAAATTTATGAACTGATTTCTGGATAGATGCAAGACCGCATGATCGTGCATGAGGGCGTCAGAAAAACTTAACCCCATCCTTCATTTAGACATCTGAAAACTAAATTCGTATAACTTAAACATAGTGCCAAAGCAGACCAACCACACGGGGTTTCTATACATTTCATCTGCAGCGCCATCCATTGGGTTCATTTTCTGCAAAACCATTGTTTACCATAAAATGAATACGTGTTATGAATTTCAACCTTAACTCCAGCGGCACTAATCAGGTAAATTTTAATCAAAAGAATTTTCCATCATACAGGTACATAGCTCACATTTAAAATTTGAACGAAATCGGTTAATAAATACGATTTTTATAAATAACTCTACTCCAGCACCACCTAGCGAGTTTTATAGTAGCATGTAATTGGACCATATATGTATGTAAGATAACCTCCGACAATCTGACGGAACTCTATTCAGTGTTTTTTGAGTTTATTCCGAACAACGAAAACGGCTATCATTT